TTCCTGGGCCAATTCCCCTTGCTCTCAGGTCAACGCTGAGATTTACACCTGCGCTGCCGTACGCCAGCCCGTGAGGTAGGTGTGTGTTTCCCCATGCAGGTTTCTGGGATTTAATCAGCTTTTCGTTTGCCCCATGGGCTGGCTCACAGCCTCATCCACCCTCCTGATTTCCCTGTTGTTGCCAAGACCAAGCGTATTTTCTCTGCTTTTCCCCCAGGGCGCAGGATCGTGGCGATGCGTCTTTGTGTCTGCATCCTTCCAGGTCCCAGGGGTGCCGTGGGGCGATGAGAAATGGTTTGTAGCCCGCAAGGAAGAGGGTTTTCCAGGGATTCCTGAGGGTTTTCCATTTCTCCTAAATACTTCTTGTTGATGGGGATGCTGCCACCGCCACTGTCTTTCCCGTTGGCCTGTAGAGAGGTGCAGCCACCATCCGCAAGGCAAAGCATCTTGGGAAACACAGCTGTGTCCCAGCCCCATGCATATTTTTTAAGGAAAACAACAACAAAAACATCGCACTTTGGCACAGAGTGACACTGGTGGAGCAGGAAGCCACTTGAAGAGGACAATTGTCACATGCCACCGCAAGGCGATGCGCCGGGGACATTGCAACAGCATGGCTGAGTGGCTGGAGACACCTTGAGAGACTCAGGAGATGCTCTGTAGGACATGGGTCTTGCTCTGCCAAGCAGGAGGTTGCATCACGCTTTTGCCCTCAAATTAATTAAGCAAATTGCCATGACGGTCCCTTCTAGTCTCAGCCTGGGAGAACCTGCTCTTGCCAGCCCAGACTCTCTCCCAGCTAAAACATGTTGGTTTAGCTTAAAATTTAAAAGCAGGTGCTGGCATTGGGTGCCCAGCTGTGAAGAGACCCACCCCTGGATGAACTCAGAGGGACTTTGGGGCACCCCTTGCGCATGTCCAGCTGCCCCAGCTTCTCCCATGTGACATCCCAGGGCTTTGTTAGCATTCCTCACTATGTTTCAGTGTTGAGGTGACATTGAGGCTGTGATGGACATGGGGACACCTTGGAGGCTATCTTGGGAAGTCGCCCCCTTGGGGTATCCAGCTGCCACACATGCAGGAAGGCTCCACAGGGATGGACAAGCTGCCTCAGCTCCATGCCTCCTCCAAGGAAGATGTCCCCTTCGCTCTGGGGACCTATGGCTGGTTTCCTACCATGGGACCAGCCCCATGCTGGTGCTTAGCCTCCCAGGGTCCCTCCATGCCTTTCCCCCATGCAAGGTCATGGGGATGCTCTTCCCTGGGCAGCTTCTAGGGACAGGGAGAAAAGCATTGAGGGTTCCCAAGCTCAGGAGAAGCCTCTTGGAGGACACCAGGCTGGGACAAGGGCTGCTCTGGTATGATGCTCCCATGTCAACACTTGGGGTGGGAACCCAGGGCACCCATTAGCTTCAAAAAGGGGTCAAAAAAGCCAAAACCAAACAAAAAAAAAGGACAACTAGGACATGTAATGTGGCGTACACACCTATCATCCAAATTTTTGAGCCACAGTAAAGGACAAACAGGGCAAAGACGCTGCCGTATTCAAACAAAATTCTTTTATTGAAAGTGTAATGGAAATTTCTTCATATTGCTTTGATGAAATGAGAGACAGCAGCAGTAGACAAATATGCTTTTTTATAAACAAATGCAAATGGATAAGGTAAAAATAAAGCATTTTTTTTAACTTGTACCTTTAAGCAACATAATCACAATATATACACAAAGAAAGCTAAAATAAAGCTATGTTGAAACAAAAGCGTTTCAATCAATACATTAGATAATTACAGATTGTGTCAATAAATACCCAGTTTTTAAACTGTTTAACAGGCAACTTTTTACACAGATACCAAGAAGAAAAAAAAAATTATATATTTACAATTCAGTGCCCGGGGAAAAAAAAAAAAAAAGAGACAAAAATCTTTTTCTTTTTTGGCACCAACACAAATAAAAAGAATAAATTATAGAAAAAAAATCCACAAAGGCAGGAGTCTATCCCCGTCATTAATTTTAAAAAAGTGTGTGTATATATATAAAATATATGTATATATTTTATATATATAAATATATATATATGCAGAGACACAGAGGAATGTTATAAAATATATTAGTGCCAATAAATACAGAACGGTACCAGACTTTCAACTGTCAGTATTTTTGATACAGTCTGAAGGATAGAAACTACCACCTAGGAGATACTGAAGGGGATTTTTCAGTCTAAAGAAACGACGACGACAATAAAAAAAATAATAAAATATATATATATATCCAGGAAATCCTCCATCTGCCAGTAGTATTCCTCCAGTCGCCCTCCTGCCCGCCGGGGAGGACCCCAGGATGATGCTTTGCAGGAGGACGTGGCGGGGGGCACTCACAGCACGGCAGGTCAGCTCCGCTTCCAAGTTGACCGGCTCAATACCAGAGAAGATGTACAATTAAATAGTAATAATAATGATTAAAAAAAAAAACAAACAAACCAACCAAAAACCCAGCCTTCGCCGTATTCGTACGCCAGAAGTATCCTAAATTGCCGGCAGGTTTGCACAAAGACGCCTGTGGGACAAGCAGGTACCAAAGAGCACCGTCCGTGTCACCGGGGATATAAACAGTTTAGCCAACAGAAGAATCTTCAAAACTGAATTTTGGGGTATTCCCCCCCCACC